ACAACTCCCATGATTCCACACTCAGTCATGACGTCATCAAACTACACATTTGTTTCTTTTGAATACGCGCCCTCTAGCGGCGAAAAATTACATATTGTGCCTTTAATCTAAAGTTAAGTTAATTTTGATCTTTTGCAATCACTTGAAACTGGTTAAATTATTATACTAATTTTTGTAATTATATCACATAGGATGTTTTTGAAAATTACATAATCCAATAAATAACACAAAACGTCAAAATTTCACAAGCTAATACTTACTGATGTTTGTGTTGTTTTCCTGCTGAAAATGCTGTCACTTCCTGGTGGACAATGTCATTAAGCATCTGGCTTTTTTATTTAAGTGGATATTAAAAATGGCTAAGGTGAAAAGTGAAACTGAGGACAGCTAATAATTAATAATAATCTATTATTTATCAACTGCCAGTTTTCATGTTAGAAGAGTACAACAAAAATGGTGACATCTGCTCAAAACAGAGCTTTGGAATGATTCAGTTATTTAAATTATTTAATATTATCACCTCTGTTTTTACTTAATTGTGATGAAGTACCACAGTGTTTGAGATGGTAGATTTTTTCTTTCAAATATTTAGAACAGCTTGTATGAGAAGGAAAGGAAGTATGTCAGATCTATGTTTGCTTATGTTGAACAGGATTTCATGAATCAATGTCGAAAACCTAAGATATTGTAGAAAATTGAAAATCCCTCTCTTTTGCTTTGTCATGTGATCACTTTGCCTGTCTGTTAGTAAATAAGTGTCACATGACATCTGCGCCCAGCTGTCTGCTCTAGATTCTTGGCTGTCTATTTTGCTGATAGGTGCATTCGCTAATAAACTGGACACTTCACCTTGTGCCAGGGAAGCCGCCCCAGCTCGTTCGAATGCCTATCCTGCCCATTATGCTGCTTATCCTACTACTAATACAGGCATTACAACAATGTGAACACCCCGGCTGCCGGGTACCCGGCTAGAGGCTTTAAGTGCTATTTTGACCATCAATCCACCTGCGTGTCACACTGTGGGGATAATGAATTTTGGCAGAATCTTGTGACCTGTTAGAGCTGTTTGGGCACCACCCCGGCTTTGTTTCAACATGAGCAAGTTGCCCAACAAACAAGCAGACACACTTCACTGTTGGACAGAAAGCTACTTGTGCAAGCGCTATCCTTGAGTGTTAAGTCTGAGACAACAGCTGCCAGACCTCAAAAAAGTGAATTTTCTGTAATTTGCCCTAAGAACAAAAACACAGGCCTGCTATTCCGTCTTGTCCAAAAATACCTCATCACAACTTCTTTTTCCTTTTCCAGATGTTTGGATTTTGCTTGTTTGAGTAGAGATTTGTACTGTTTCACAGTAAACCTGCATTCAGTTCTCCTG